ATTGTTTTCCTCTTCCAAATTGGCTTGAGTTTACTGTCTTTCAATTTCTTTCACTTGCTAAAATTGTTTATGCACAGCAGGTGTTTGATTTAATTTTTTTTTTTTTGGTTTCTCGCCCGGTATCGGGGGCTTCGCCTCGACTACTCTGGACTTGACCAGTTGTGGCGCACTAGAATGGTGGGTGGGTCTCCCAACGAAAACTGCTGCGTACGCAAGGTCTCGAACTCGAGATCTTGCTTAAACTGGAACAAGCCGCTTGCCACTTGATCCAACCCCTCGTTGGTCAGGTGTTTGATTTAATTCCTCAAAGAACATTCAACTTAAAGTTTTAGTTCAACTCTGTTTTCTCTACATGTGGTATTAGAGCTTGGTACATTGAGGGGACCAAACATAGCAGCTAATGGCATCTGAAACCTTTGTGCAGCCAGCAATTCCTCGTTTTGATGGTCACTATGATCATTGGCGCATGCTGATGGAGAATTTCTTGAGGTCCAAAAAAGAGTATTGGGATGTGGTTGAGTCTGGAGTAGTAGAACCAACTGCTAGGATGTCAGAAGCTCAGAAGGCAGAGTTGGAGGCTTTAAAATTGAAGGATCTCAAAGCCAAAAATTATCTCTTTCAAGCAATTGATCGGACAATCTTGGAGACTATTCTTTGCAAAGATACCTCCAAGCAAATTTGGGATTCAATGAAGAAAAAGTACCAGGGAACCACAAAAACAAAGAGGCAGCAGCTTCAAGCACTTCGTTCAGAGTTTGAAATACTTCGAATGAAAGACGGTGAGACTGTTACTGACTATTTCTCTAAGACAATGGCAATTGTCAACAAATTGAGGACCCATGGTGATAAGACACAAGATGTTACTGTTGTTGAGAAGATACTGCGTTCAATGACACCAAAATATAATTTTGTTGTCTGTGCTATTGAGGAGGCAAATGATCTTGATGAAATGTCACTTGAAGAACTTGAAAGTTCTTTGCTGGTACATGAAAGGAAGCTGAATCGACAAGAGCAGAATGAGCAAGCTTTGAAGGCCACAATTGGCACCTCTTCTTCATTTTCAAATAGATCAAACAGAGGAAGAGGCAGAGGTAGAGGAAGAAATCAGCAAAATCTGCCTTTTGAAGGAAGAGGAAGGGGGCGTGGCAGATTTCAGATTTCCTACAGACCAAAGTCAGCAGACAGGTCCAAAGTTGAGTGCTTTCTGTGCCACAAGTATGGGCATTACCAATCTAAATGTCGAGCTAATTTGCCTAACAATGAAGGAGAAAAATCAAATTTTGCACAAATTGAGGAGGAAATATCCTTGCTGATGGTATGTCATGATGGAGAAGGGTCTAATAAGAACCTGTGGTATTTAGACATTGGTTGCAGCAATCATATGTGCGGAGACAAGGCAGCTTTCTCCACCTTGGATGAATCTTTCAGAGATAATGTGAAGTTCGGAGACAATTCTAAAGTCTCGGTCAGGGGAAGAGGACAGGTGACCATTCAAATCAGGGGTAATGCTGCTCAAACAATTTCTAATGTCCTTTATGTTCCAGAATTGAAGACCAATCTGCTAAGTATTGGTCAATTGCAAGAGAAGGGTTATGAGATTATCATCAAGAATGGAGTGTGCCGGATTCAAGATTCCAAATTGGGCTTAATTGCTCAAGTTAAAATGACT